CACCAAGTTCCCAGCCAAGGTAATCTTGACTCTGGTTCTCCCCACCGTGTAATATGTCTCATCACGAATTCCCACACACTCTTGCGTGATCTTCGTGTCAATCAGGCAGCCTACCTCACGAGCAAAGGTGGTGTCCAGGATGGACACCTCGGCACCTGTGTCGAGCAATAACACAGCACGGCGGTTGTTCAGCTTTCCATGAATCTTGGCCTGCTTGTACCACTTGTGCGGCGCGTAATGTTTCCAGTATCCGCGTCGCTCTCCTGGTTGCAAGTCGATCTCGTCCAGGGGTGGTTCACGCCGAGCCGAATTTCGACGAGGCGAAACCTGATGAGCAGGAGGAAGACGACGCGGTCCTCATCCACGAGGGGTCCGACCTCTTTGTAGAGGATCTCGAGTCTGAGATGGCAGTGCTGCCAGACCTCTCGCTGACCGCCGAGGTGAAGATCGAGGACTTGAAGGTCGGCATGGCGACTGGACTCCCGCCCGAGGAAGCCGCGAGACAAGAAACGCGGCTACACCAAATCATCTGGAAGCGACGGAAGTGGTTGATCGGCAAAGGCAACGCCTTGCCGCCGGCCGCCCTGGGTGTTGTCTGCGACATTGACGTGGGCGACGCAAAACCCGTCGCGCAACGCGTCCGGAAAATCCCGCCGCAGTTTCGAGAGAAGGTCGCCGACTTAATCAAAGGGCTGCTGAGCGCGAGGATGATCCAGAAGTCGAAGTCGCCGTGGGCGTCGCCCATTGTCGTGATCATAAAGAAGAACGGCGTCGATATCCGGCTTTGCATTGACTACAGGCTCATCAACGGGCTGACACAGTTGATGATTTACCCCATGCCGCTCGTCAACGACTTGCTCGAAGACTTGGACAAGAATCTGTGGTACTGCTCCCTCGACATGGCGAGCGGCTTCTGGGTCGTCCCCATGACAGACCGGGCCCGGCTCATCTCAGCCTTCATCACGCCGATGGGACTGTACGAATGGCTGCGTATGCCGTTCGGCCTGTGCAACGCGCCGCAGATTTACCAACGCTTGATCGACAACGCGCTCTACGGGTTCATGAAGCTGTCCCCGGATGGCAGCACTCGGGACGTCTTTGAAGACGGCGAACCGGTGAAGCCAGATATTCACTCCATTCTGGGACAGAGGTCGTACATCGACGACATCCTCATCGGGGGCACGTCGTGGGACGACCTGTGCGAGAAGGTCGAACACTTGCTGGATGTATGCGAGCAGTGGCACTTGTCCATCAGTGTCGAGATGAGCGAGTGGGGTATGTCCAAGGTCGACTACCTGGGCCACCGAGTCTCAGGACTCGGTCTCGAGGCGAAGCCGAAGAATCTGGAGTCGCTGACGTCGCTCGAGTTCCCGCGCACGCTCAAGGGCCTGCAATCGTTCTTGGGTAGCCTCAACTACTACCACCGGTTCATTGCAGACTTTGCAGTGTATGCAACCGCTGCAAACTCGTCGTCCGTCGTCCGTCGTACCGCCGAGATTCGCGGCGCGCGTTCTTGCGTGGTACGTTCGAGGTTGGATTCACATGTATTATCATTCAGGGAAGTCGGGCTCTCACTAACCACCTCTCGCGACTTCTTGGTCACATATGCATAGACGGAAACAGGTCGCTCGTCTCGTACTGGTTTCCAAGCCAGCGAGCGTCCTAGTTTAACATCTTCTCGGCGGCCGGCGGCAGCATTCCCGCGTGTTTATTCGGGTCAAACCACTGGCGCAATTGGTTGAAGAACTCCTCCATCGGGCATTCTCCGGCTTCGTGCACGTCACCGCAGGCCTTGCACACCCTCAAGCATCGCTCCGTCGGGTGCTGGCCACCACACTTCTGACACGTCAACAACTTCCAGCAGTCTCCTTCGACATGGCGACGTGAACCACAGTGGCGGCACCGCGGGCGGTCGCGTCCCGAGTCGTCGGGATCGAAGTTGCGACGCGCCGGCTCTCCCGGCGGGGCCTGTCCCGCGACGAACAACTTGGCGCGTTCTTCGTCCGCCTCGTCTTGGTCGTACTGGCGATCGTCGCTGTCGCGACTTTCGCGTCCCGAATCGTACTCGTCCGACGCGACGTGAATCGCATGCACGGCGCGCGCCGGCTGAGTCGGTGGGGTCGGCGCCTTTTGGCGGAACTTGTTCGAGCCGAAGAGAGTCTTTTTCTGGTGGGCCAGTCCCCGTTGTCGGGCACGCAGCTTCTTCTCCAGCGCCTCGGAGTCGGCGACCTCCATCAGCGTGAGCCGCGAGGCGAGTTCGGCCTCCTGCGTGTTCAGCGTCCGGATGAAATGCTCGACGTGTTCGCGCTTCTCTTCAGTCGTACCCTCGGCGTATGCGATGTTGGCCCTCAAGCCCGCGACGTTGAGCCGGTACAAGTAATCCAGAGGGGTCTCGTCGGGGCGCTGAGCCGCATGGTAGTAGCGGCTGGCCATTGACACGCCCTTGCCGCAGTACTGTACACGGAATTGCTCCATCAGCTCGGTCCATGATTTCTTGACCTTCCTGGGCAACTGGAGATACCATTGGCGCGCAGGGCCGCTCATTAGATCGCTGAACTGCCCGCACACTTCTTCGCCCGTCATCCCGTCGCGCCGCGCGGCGGACTTCAGACGGTTGAGCCACAGTCTGGCTTTCTCTTCGCTGGCGTCCCGTCCCGAGAACTCTTTCAGCTCGGAAGATGCTGAGAGGCGTACGCGGGCGAGGGCTACGCCGCCGGCTGTCGCCGTCGAGACGGCGGCTGCGGTTCTTGGCACTCCGATGTCCAAGTCGAACAGGTCATCGGGGTCCTCGTCTGCGTTGCGTCTAGTTCTGGACCTCGTCGAAGAACGCGAACTGACCGACTCCATGGCGACATCCGCTGCCTCCTGGGGGCGAGCCACCGTGAGTGTGGGACTCGCGGGCGGCTTCAGCCCCGTCGGAATTGCGGCTGTGTCGGCGCGCGGGGCGCTCATCACTGTCGTCTGCATCAACTTGATGATGGATTCTCTCAAGGCCTTGGGAAGCACCTCCTCGGCGGGTTTCGTCACCTCCGTGCGTGCGGGCGCCGCGGATAGTTGCATGACGCGCGGCGGCCGGTTCATGGGCATGCGCTTGGGCGACTCGAAACTGCTGTCGGAGTCCACGCTCGATTGGTATCGAGGTGGAGGCGAGGGCGTGGTCGTCGAGGTCTGGGCTGAGCCCGTCGAGGAACTCGGCGCGTCTTGGCCCGTCGCGGAACTCGTCGCGTCTTGTTTGACGGATCCGGCGAGAATCGTCAAGGGCTCCTGCACGACGCGAATCGCACGTAACCAAGATTTGAGGTCCCAATTGCACAGCCTCTCCATCTCGAAAGCCCCAGCACGAACCCCGAGTCACGCAGCATCTGGAAGAGAGTCGGCGCGGCGTGGGCGACGCTGGTGAGACTATCGAAGTCCGGCGCCACGAAGGGGCCTGTGAAGTTGCTCATCAGCATGGGCTTGAGGAAGACCAAGATTGGGTCTTGTTCTAGCAGACGGAAGAGCTCCGTGCGCGCCACGACGTACCGTATCTCCTCGACGGTGTACTGACGTCCCGTGTCCTTGCCTTGCGGCTTGGACAGCGACTCCTCCGCCGAGTCCGGCGCGCGCAGCTTCTTCTGCTTCCTCTTGGGCGACTTGCGCTTCGTGGCTGCCTTGGCGGTGGGTTGTTGTTGGTCGTCAGCCTTTGCAGGCTTCCGACCGGTAGGACCGCGACTTGCGTCGCGGCCCTTCGCGGCCCCCTCGTCGGGAGCCGCATCGGGAACGGCAAACTGTTCTTCGTAGCCCTCCTGGTCGTCGCTGGCCCCGTGGCCTGTCGTGAAGGTTCCCTCAGAGCTCCACGACGCGACAGGTCTCTCACTGTGCTCTCTTGTGGTCGGCGACCTTCCAGCCGACTGCGCACCTGCCTCCGATGCCTCTTGGATAGTTAGCCCGTCATTCGAAGTAGTACTCCCGGGTCGCGGCACGATTGTGGAGTAGCGCCCTCGCAGAAATCTCGCGAATGCGATCTCGCATAAACTCGGCGCGTCTGGATAGCGGTCGCGCCGAGCAAATTATTACCGGTTGTTGGAGTAGCGTATCTTCGAAATACAGGCCCAAGTCTTCGCAGGCTTCGGAGTTGGGGGTTCTTGTGTTGACGCTTGTTCCTTGTCGTAGGGCGTCGAGCCTTGGGCGTGCGGCGTTATCGGGCCGGCGTTTCCTCGGCGTTCCCGTCGGGCGTGCGGCGTTATCGGGCCGGCGTTTCCTGGGGCTTGTGTGGCGTTATCGGGCCTACAGGGGGGTCTTGTGCACGGCGGTTATCAGGCCAGTGCGGTCCTTCGCCTAGGCAGCGCGTTATCGGGCGCCCACCTAAACGGTATACGTTTAACGTGCCTTTGTTCCAGCACGGGTCTGTGGGGGGTGAGCACCCGAACCAGCAAACGACGGAGGGCCGCGATATTGAGGCGGCTCTACTTGCCGGCGCTTGGCGGTTCCCCTGGAACCTCGGAGAAGACGGGAGGTCTTTGTGGTTCAGAGAAATTTCGGGACTGAGTCCTTACCCTATCCTATGTCCTTGCTACTGGCTACTCTGTACTACTGCTTGCTAAGCCTACCGCTCTGGGCCTATCCCTACTTCCGTCGTGCTTGCACTGCCGTCCTTCAACCTGGTTTGCGTGGCGCAATCAAGATCTTACCTCGGCGCGTTTTGGTCGGCGGGGGTTAGGGTTGGCGCGTTTTGCTCGGTTTAGGGTCGGCGCGTTTTGCAGAACCGGGTGCGCTGGTCGACCCGTCGGATGATTACGTGTCGCACTGGATTCTGGCACCGTGTCTCACGGCCCATCACCCACGCCGACTTTCCCGTCGAGCTCGGCCCTGCGTCGCGCCCATCAATCCGCGTCGCGTTCCATCAGCCGCGTCGAAGTCCATCACTCGCGTCCCGGCGCCTTCTTCCTCCAGCGCCCGGCGCGCCCACTTCTTCCGCGGGGTACTACACCACATAGGCATCTCGAATTTAAAGGTGTTATTACGCTATCGACGTTGAACTGGCTGTTGTACATCGAGATCGATTGAACAGCAACCTCAACATTTTTGAAATTAGCAGAAGCTGGGAAGCTATAACGGTACTGATTATTGAAAGAATTGGACACCAAGTCCTTGGAGCTGATTGCTACTAGCGAACTCATAATTGATTATATTCGTAGCGGGATTGTTTGATTCGAGTATCGAAATTAAATCTCATCTCACCTTCACCGAATCTATGAATAAACACTGCACCTTTTTGGCTGTTACTTGCTCATAGGCTCTGATGAGTCCATCCTCAGTCGTGCCAGGGATATTGAAATCCTTGAACAGCATCTTCAAATCGCGCTTCGAATTGGCTTTTAGGATCGCTACATATTCTGAACTCAACCTGATCATCTTAGGGCAAGCAAAGTTCAGATGGTTTGCTTACCTATGACTACGCGTAGACACTCTATCTGGGTAAGAATGACTATAGACTGAGCTACATCTCTGGAATCGTTCCTGGTACTACATATAGCGGCATTGCCTTGGTTCCAGGTGATAATAATGATATCAGCGGTCTCGGAGCACTTAGCTGTAGTAGTCTGACGGTTAATGGAGCTTCCGTATCAGGCGCTCCATCATATGTAGTTGGCATTACTCCAGGTCAGGCAGCGATCAACAAAGCACTGGTTCTTGGAGCATCACGCGAAATTGCTACTATTAGTAGTTTGACGGCAACGTCGATAACGGGTACGCTTCAAACAGCAGCTCAGCCTAATATTACTAGCTTAGGCACGCTACCGTCGCTGGCAGTAAGTGGAAACATATCTGGCACGCTAGCAACAGCTGCTCAGCCAAATATTACATCCGTAGGTACATTGAGCGATCTCACAGTGAGTGGGAGTCTGTACGCTACGCTACAGACGGCTATCCAACTAAGATTACATCTGAAGACACACTGATTAGCCTTGTAGTGAGCGGACAAACATATTGTACGCTGAATACAGCTGCTCAGCCTAATATCACATCACTTGGTACGCTTACTGGATTGACTATTGCAGTCAATTTAGCATTTACACGAGCATCAAGAACACTTACGGGTCTTAACTCACTCACTGCGGCATCGATATCGGGCACGCTACAGACCGCGGCTTAGCCGAACATTACCAGCGTAGGAACGCTTGGTTCGCTGACATCTAGTGGAGCAATAACCATTTCTGCTGGCATTGCATCGTCAAACGCAACCTCGGGTTCTCTTGTAATAACCGGAGGTATTGGACTCGGAGGTGATCTGAATGCAAGTGGATCGATATCAGCACTCGGTTTCATCAATGGATTGATTAATAATCCGACTCAAAGCAAAATTACATCGCTAGGAACTCTTACTGGCTTGACGATCGATGGCAATCTATCATTCTCAGGAGCAAGCAGAGCTATTACTGGAATGGACTCTCTATCGATGAGCGGAAAATATGTTATCACTGTCCCAGCAGCTTCAACGCTAAGTTCAACAACCCCCGCAGCGGAATATCCAATGCAATTTCGGAATATATCGAATGTTTCTGGAACAGCATGCAGAAGGAGCGCTGAGTAATTTCACGCCTTCGGCAGCTATTATTGGATCAATCGAAGCGACTGGAGCAAGTAATGTTCATAGCCCAGGCATTTTCTCTATCCGGACGCGTGGAATGCAAATCCAGACTGATGGTGCTATGTATGAACGCAGGCCTAGACGGAACCATCAGATTTGGATCAACTCTATCAGCGAAGGATTGCATCTCTATCTTCTGGAGTAATTACTCGACTGGTAGCAGTCTCAACTATCTGGCTTTCAACGTTTACGGTACCTCTAATGCTCTCGCTATCAAAGCAAGCGATCGCATAGGGATACGAACTGCGACGTCATCTACTGTTTTCGACGTCAATAACCTTCTTACAGAGCTTGCCGCCGCGGATCTTCGTCTCATTGCGCTTCGCGTATCTGTTAAAGATGATCGATGGACCTCCGGCGACGTTAGCCCGTATTTTGTGGTAGATATCTGCCTCCTCCTTGTCGATTGACCAGACCAGCTTGTCAGCGTTGAACTCGAGCAGCTTCTTGCGTCTGAAGGCTTTCAGAGGCATATCCTTACGAGCGACGTTGCAAGCTATACAGCTGATGAGAATGTTGCCATCCTCATGACCGAGCTTGTTGTTGATTCGATCGGCTGATGCCGTCTCAGCTGTATGCTGACAGTAGCAGAGACCGCAAAGATACTTTTGCTTCTCAAGCAGCTCATCTAGGTGTTTCATGGTCATATCAAACTCGCGGTCAGCCTTCTTATCTTGTTCGATGTACCCTAGGTAGCGCTACTCAGGGAAGTCGAGTGCCTTAGCTGGGACTCTAGGTCGCTTATCAAGATTGGTGAAGCATGTCTGATACATAACCTTCTCGCTCAGCCCCGGAAGTGAAACACCATCTGTAAAGATGTCGAGCTTGAAACGCTTGAATAGCTCACGCTGGGCTTGGATAGCCTGAACGAAGGTTTTGACATCAAGATTGTTGTACCAGATCAGCAGGTCCTTGATTGACTTCATCTCATAGTGCTCCCACACGAACTTGACTCGCTCATAGTCGTTGTCACTTATGCTTGTTCCTCGGAGACTGCTGTCGAACGCTGACTTTGCTGGGATAGTAGTCTCGTTGAGCACATCGAATGACTTGATGTACTCATATGGAGATAGTCCCTTGCCGAGACCACAGATGCAACGAATCTTGTCATCTCATTCGCATCCACCTAGGTAAGTAGTGAGATACTTTTCATAGCTTGTTCCAGCTGGGAGATGAAGGGAAAGCCTCGATAACCTCGATCTTCTTGTGGTTCCAGAGCTTGTCATAAGTGTCAAAGATAGCATCGCATACGTTGCATGGATACTTTGAAAGAACGGTATCGATGTTCTTGATGTACATGGCATGTCCCTTGTAGTCGAGAATGTTGATAATATTTTCGTACGCCTTCTCCGACTCGCGTAGCTTGCTGATCTCAAGAGTGTTCTGATCCATTTCAAACACGTTGATTGCTAGCTGGAAGCAGTCTTCGAGCTGGTCGAACTCCTTGATATCAATTGGCTGCATCTCCTTGAAGTACTTGGCTGAGTACTTGACACTCTTGAACGTACAGTACGCTTCGACACGATCCTTAACCGATGCCATCATTCGATCAGGACGTGCGCTCTCCTCCAAGTGGTAAGCAATGCAGAAGAATACACACGTGTTGTTAGTCCTAGGGAAATCGATGATGAACTTGTTCTTCTTGATGCTCTCTGGGATCTCGATGTTATCGCCGAGAATGTGATCACGCTTGTAGATCATGACCTTAGCCATGGTGATCTCCTTGAGCTGATAGCTTGAAGATGGGTAGCTGATGCGCTCAGTGAAATCCTTAGAAAGCATCTCACCCATGATCTTCTTCTCAATATCGGCCTTGGAGTTGATTGGGATAGGATTGTTGAGCACTGAAGTGTTCGTCGAAGGCTGATAGTTCCTCTCGAGTCCTGTGATGCGATCAATTAGCTTGTAGCCAAGCTGGACATCAGCTTTGAAAGCCTTGTCCTGCTTAGAGAGGAGCGAACGAATATTGGACATGATATCCTTGTGAGAGTAGTTCTCGTACAGGTGCTCGTCGTACACCTTCATCTTGCGAAAGTTGTAGCTCGACGGTGGCTTGTAGTTGGGAGTGAAGTGTCGCTGGATACGGGACTTAGGGATTTTGCAAGAGATCGCGGTTCTTACCCTTCTTGAAGGAAGATATATAAACTATACGACCGTTCTGATTCTTGACCTTGACACGGAACGATGACTCCCATCGCTTGACCGGGATGTTGAGGCGCTTGAGAGCATCGAGTTCGTAGAACAGCATAGCGGCTATATGTGAGAAAAGATAAAATATTCAATTCTCTTCTTGGTATATTATTTGGGCTTCGCTTAAAATGGATTCATCTTTGTAAGTCGTGAACAAAAAAAAATGGAGCTTAGTCGAGCGCGATCTTGCCCGCACGCCTAGCATAGTACAGTCTCTGACGAGCAAGAATCTTCTCACGATTCTTCTCATCGTATTCCTTCTGACGAGTGAGTATCTTTTCACGATTCATGTTGTAGTACCGCTTCTTTGCGGCTGCGATCGTTGCCTTGTTAGCTTGGTATTTTTTTAGGAGAGTATGCCATTGTTATCCTTATTATATAACTTTGTCTTAAGATCAATTAGGAAAAGTTATTTAAAAAATATTGGATTACTTGCGAATCTCGAAATATCCACAACTATGGCATCGATACTCGTGAACTTTTTTATAGCAGCATGAATTCTCTGACCGACACCACATTCGATCACATGGGGTCAAATATTCAAGCTGTTCATTGCTCTTGATAAGCTCACCATCACACTTGTAACGACCGAATTCCCCTGTCTGCGTAGGATCGGATACTCCTTCCGCTTCTGAAACCACGGAAGTTGCATCAATCGAACGCAATATGCTTGATCCTTGAGCATCTCCTCGATCGAAGAGTACTTCGACTTGAACGATAGCTGAACCATGGTGTCGAATATGCTGTAATTATTCTTAGTATATCCATGTGTCAGGATTGAAATCTTTTCCTTCCAAATATTTGCTCTTTCTCATAAGAGCTTTCTAGAAGATATGCGCTGACGATATATTGTTCGAAATTTTAAACTTTGTCTTAAAATTCAACCCTAACTATAATGGGCCTACTTTGGCCCACTACTTTAGCTTACACGTGTGCGCGTGTATGTGAGGAAGCGTAGCTAAGTTTAAATTAGAGTTAATTATACTCGGGCCTCCGAGTATAGATTAATCTAAATAAACGATCCAAATAATGTTTTTGGGTTAAAATGAGAACTGCTATTTTTGTTTTATGTTTCTGACTTCCTCTAAATGTAATATTCTAAGATAGGAATCTGCCAATGGCTGGTTGGCAGAATTCCAATGCTATGCATGTCGCTCATTGGCTAAGAGATGCTGCTCTCAGCCAATAAGAATCATAAGTCTCTATGGACCACCCGCCGTGGTGGTCGTAAATGTATGTAGCCTTTGGTGTGTCTACACCAAGGTCGAGAAAGTATTTCGAACCTCTAACAGACGTCGTGTCTGTTAGAGTTACAAGTGACTGTAGCCACTTGTGTGTGTAACCCTGTTACACCATCCCCCCCTCAAGGTTAGACGCGCCGAGTCACGGCACGTCAATCAGGAAATTGACCATTCGTCAATTCTTCACGTTGGGAGAAAGAAAACTCGAGCTCATTTCGCAATGAGCTCGCCTCAGAAAAAGACCGACGCTGCAGCAGAGGGGAAGTCCTCCGCCGGGATAGATACTCTCTCTATCCCCGAGTACCGCGAGCGTCTCAAAGCAAAGCGTGACGCTCTTGCTACCAAGGCTGCGGCGGGGACAACTCAACCAGAGATTGTCCTTGAAGGTTCTTCTGTAGTCAACGACGCCGTTGACTTCGAGGACGACGACGTGGAGATGGAAGAGGGCGATGCTTCTTCTAGCAAGCGCAAGGAGTCTATCGACAGCGATAGTCTCGACCCGCATGCCGGGTCGAGACGCCCTCGTGAAGGAGACGACTCGGACGCTTCGAGCTCGAAGCGTTCGCGCGGCGAGAGCGACACTCCGCTCTCTGCTGCTGGGGCTTTAAGCTCCCCGCGTGAGGTGGCGCCTTCAAGCTCTCCGCGCGCTGCCTGAGCAGCGCGCGATCCGTGGATGCCGTCTGCGTCAGAGATCGCAGACCGTGTGGGCAACACGGTGCCACCGAATGAAATCCCGCTGTACGTATGCAGCGCTATCCACGACGATGCTGTTGCGGAGGAGCAGCACTTTGATCCGTTAACGAATCAAAGGCGCGACTATTACATGGGGCTCTTCCACGAGCTCCGGTACTTCTCCAGCAAGAAGACCTCTTCTCGCAGCAAAGTGCCTGAGTGGCAGGCACTTTGTCAGAGTTGGAATGCTTTTGTTGAGAACTTCAACAAGAAACCAGCAGCTTACCGCGAGCGGGTTAAGCATGCCCGTGAGCGCTTCGAGACATTCTCGACGCGCGGGCGGCTGGAGCAGCTCCACAGATCCTCTGTGGACGCTGGTATTCCATGCGCTGTGCCCGAAGGCCAACAGTCTTCCGGGTGCGGCACGCTTGAGCGACCGCGACCTAAACGGGTACACGACGATTCGTGTACCTGCGAGTCTCAAGGATCTCCGTGCCAAGTTCTTGGCACGCGAGGAACGCGACGATCGTGGGACTTCGGGCGCTGCGGGTGACTACAGCGCTCGCACTACCTTCGCGCCGGCAGTGCGTGGTGAGCTTCGTACGCCCTCACCATTTCCGGAACGTCCTGCAGCAGGACGTCCCGCGGCTCCCATGTATCTTGGTGGGGCGGAAACCCTCTCCAACGAATACGATAACGAACCGGCTGCCGGTTCGTTTTCGGGATACTATGGTTCACAATACGCTCAACAATCCAGCGTGTTGAGCCGCGGGCATCGCGGATCGGAGGCGGTGGTGGTGGGAACACGCCCCGGGTATGGTCAACCTGGGGTTGACCTTGGTCCGACGCTCGAGGAGCGGGTCGCTGCTATGGAACAGCATCAGAGCCGGGAGTTCGCCGCTCTGAAGCAGGAGGTGGCGATTCTGAGGGCTCAAGTCGCTCAGGACTCGCAGACCGCATCGGACATCTCTGCCGACGTGGGAGGTCGCGTCGCACGCTTGGCCCAGCGCGTTCACGCGCTGGAGCAGAGGTTCGCTCCCGCTGGGGCTTCCGCTTCGGGCCAGCCGAGCTAGGTGGCTCGTGCTGCCGGTATGGCTTCAGCCGCCCGACGTAAAAGGTCGGATGGAGGCGCATGCTAGATGGAATATCTAGTGTGTAGGCGTTGCCATGCCGTGCCAACACCGTGAACGGCCCGATGAAGCGCGGAGCGAGCTTGCTCGCCCCGAAGTCGGAAACTGCATATTTAGGCAGGTTTTGAGCTGCTAACAAAACCAATGAACCCTTCTTGAATTCATTAGTGTTGCCCCTACCAACATTGTCTGCGTTCAGCTTCTGTCGGTCGACAGAAGCTGCGATAGCGTCTTGGACAAACCGAATGACGGCTTGTCTGCGCTGCACGAAGTTGATTGCGTCCGAGCTGAACTCGTTCAGCTCGTTTCTAGCAGTAGGCCCGGCCTCTGCGTTCGTCTTCGCGGTGTCTGTGCCCTACACAGGCCCGTTCTTCTTCTTCTTGCTCTTGTCGGCGTCTGTGCCCTGCACAGACGCGTGCTTCTTCTTCTTGTTGCGCGTAGTCGCGGCTGACACTGTGCAAGTGTCAGCGGCATTCTGCGGCTGCTGTGTTGCAGTCGTAGATCCTCCCCCACTTAAGGAAGGAGCCACCATCCCGAGTAGACTCGGGAGGCGTGGGTGCCTGATGGCATTCACGTAGAACGGGGTATGCCCGGTCGAGGCATGCACCGAGTTGTTGATGGCGAACTCCGCCATCGGTAGGCACTCGCTCCAGTGTTGGAACGAGTGAGCGTAGCTCTTAAGCACGTCTACGAGCACGCGGTTCACGCGCTCGGTCTGCCCGTCCGTCTGCGGATGGTCCGCAGTCGACATCGAAAGTTGACTCCCAAGAAGTGTAAACACTTCTTGCCAAAGGTGCAGTGAAGCGCGGGTCCCGATCCGACACAATGTCGATCGGCATGCCATGGTGTTTGAACACCATGTCAACGAACAGACGCGCCGTCTGCTTCGCAGTCACTTCAGCGGGTACTGCAGCAAGATGTACCATCTTGCTGAAGCTGTCAACAAAGACCACAACGCCCGTGTTCCCCTGGTTGTCCGGGGGAAGACCGAACACGAAGTCCAAAGACATGGACTGCCAACACTCCCGTGGAGTTGGTAGTGACTGCAAGGGAGCCTGCGCGAAAGGCGCAGGCTTCACATGTTGACAAACCTCGCAAGCACGGACGTACTTGCGCACCCATTTATACTGGTGGGCCCAGTAGAAGTCTCGCGTGAGAAGAAGGTATGTCTTCTCACGGCCCGGATGTCCCGCAGTCGGTGCATCGTGATACTCGTACAGGATCCTGAGTCGCAGGTCATGGTCATTGGGCACGACAACGCGGTCCGCGTTGTCGTCGACGGCACTATAGAGAAATAACCCGTCGTGCACCCGATAACGGTGTGCACGAGCACGAAGATGCTTCGGCAACTTCTGACGAGCTTTGTCAGAAGGCGCTGAGCCGTAGGCCAGCAAGAGCTTCGCGTCCGCGTCGTGCGCGTACGCGACCTTCACGTCGTCCAACAGTGACGACGTTGGGGTGCTCGATCGCATGGCGTCAATGGCATTGACGTCGGCATCAGTCGTGGCGTAGTCAGGTCGACGCGAGAGCGCGTCGGCCACCACATTGAGTCTTCCGGGTTTGTACTCAACCCGGAAGTTATACTCTGCGAAGAATGAGAGCCATCTCGCCATCCGTTGCGAGATGTGCGGCGACTTCACAGCCGTCCGCAACGACGCGTGGTCCGTATAGACCACGAACGGTTTGCTTCCGAGTAGATACTCGGAACTTCGCGAGTGCGTACTTCATGGCAAGGAGCTCCTTGTCATGTACCGGGTAGTTGGGCTCAGCTGGCTTCAGCTGACGCGATTGGTACTAGACGACACGATCACGACCCTCGTGATCGTGCTGCATCAACGCACATCCGATTGCGAAGTCGGATGCGTCGCACACAACGTGGAATGGGCGATCTTGGTCGGCCACCGCCAAGATCGGCGCCTCTGTGGTGGAGTCCCTCAGATAAAAACTAATAAACTCCCACACGTGTCCTGCCACGCAACTACGGGGGGGGTTACCCCTGCAAGCCAAATACCCAAAGACAGCGAGAACTAGTCCCGAGATCTCTAGGCCTCACCTTGTGTACCCTTGTAGCAAGACTCGGATCTTTATCTAGCGTAATTCCTAGAAGACGTGTAATATGAAGGGGTGGATATGGGGTTCCTTACACTCGCAGGCAGAGACTTAGGTTAACTCTGTCGCGGATGCACTTGTACAGCGAGGTAACTCTTCCCACTGTACGACAACTTGTTGTACAATATGTACGAGATCTACTGGAGATCTCCTGCCGCAGCTGAGATCTCCTGCCGCAGCTAGTCTGCGGGTCCAAACCAAAGTGCGAGACGCACACCAATACCTTACTAAACCGTTTAGAGTGTCCTACTGTCGAACACTGAGAGCTGATCTCCTGAGTCCAGACAATGCAACACACTACGCTACTAGAAGGTTACCGGGGAGGCCAAATCAATCCAGAACCCCGAGTACATTTTGCAAGTAGGTAGGAAACAGTCACAGTACACACGTAGGCGCTAACCGCACAACACAAAGACTAATATGAAGAAGTACCTTGTCTCGTCGTTGGAAATTCTGAACTGAACTGCCTATCTACCGGCGGCTCATCTGCCGGCCAACCAACCAACCGGTATGCTGCACGCCTTTACCTCATGACGTCATCTGCTGTCTCCGTGCGGTGTCATCGTCCTTGTTACGGGCCTCCCCGTTCTGGATCTCCGTAAATACGCCATCGGGTTTCGTAATCAGTCGCCGGCCTTCTATACGGGACGCCGAGCTAGGGTGTCCCATAATTCAAGTGGCTCACTCTCGGGTCACCTTCGGGTAACCTCCGGGTCCATCGCCTCACAATCCTTCAACCCGCATTACGACATCCGCCCTCTCTTCGCGTGAGGCCATCGAGCAGGTGGCTGCCACGCGTAGAGCTCCTGCACCATGTCTGCTTCTCCACCCGCGTCGTCGCCTTCGTCGTCGGCCGCCGGCGTCCCTCTGCTGAGTGCTGCCCCGTCGTCGACCTACAGCCACGGAGATTGCACCGCCTGTCACTCCCTTGGTCGATCTATACTCCATACTCCGGTTCGCAGCCATCTCTATCGGAACGCGCGCGCATTATCTAGGCTGCTCAAGTCACCGCGGCCCTCGATCACGAGGTGCTGGATCTCCGGGGCCGTCTTGACGTCGCCCAGGATCTTTTTGAAGCATCTGGTTGCCACACTGCAAGTCTTCATCGAACCATCCATGATCGCGATCTGGAGGTTCAACGCGTGCGCAACGAAGTCGATGGTCGTCTCCGGGATCTCCAGCAGGCCCTGAACACCGAAGTAGAACACCGTCAGCAAGCCGAAGCTGCTGAACAACAAGCACGCGCAGATCTCGCACGGGTCGCCGCTCGCTCAGCTGATGCCGATGAAGTCACTCCGTCCGCTGCAGCATCGCCCTCTAACGTCGTCCCCAGTCAGTTGGAGATCGCCCTCGGAGATCCGGATGATCTACGAGCCGAGCTGGCAGATATCAAGGCTACCTGGACCCCTCCTCCCACTGCATCGGTGACCCCAGGTGGCCGACTGTTGGCTGCCAGCGAAGCTGCCACCGATGATGATCGGACTAGTGACGGACGCGCGGGACGTGCCTTGCAACGATCCAATGCCGAACGAGACAGATCTCGCAATCAATTGCGCCAAGCGGAGGCGACAATCGACAGGTTGCAGACCGAGTTGGCGCAATCGCGCACGCTGGTCAACAAAGCAGCGCCACGGATGGACACCCTTCGCTTGGATGCGTCCAAAGCTCGTGAGGACGCAGAAGAAGCACGACGAGAAGCGGTGGCGGCGTCAAAAAGGCGCAAGACGGTGGTAAGTCGTCCCAAGTGCTGAGGTTGTTGATGTTGCATCACTAACGCCATGATCTCCACAGCGACAGCGTTATCGGATCTCGCACAGCGGCATACGGTGGCTGGGAAGCGACTGGAGGAGTTGGAGAGGAAGATCACTCGGCTGACTCAGCATAACACCGTTCTACGGCGTGAGAACGTCGACTTCAAGAACAGTTTGGTGCATCGTCAGGCTGATCTCGCAACAGCTCAGGATCGCGCAGTGGCTGCAGGTCATGATCGCGCGTGCTAATGTGGCGGGTTGACTCTTGTGCTGACCTGTGCGTTTATTGCTTTGTAGAACGAGAGCGAGCGGAGGCCTCCCTCGCTCGCGACGACTTGCAGGCGGAGCTGGATGCGAGTCGACAGTCGCTGCTGAAGGAGCAGGCTTCTTCTGCTGATCTCCGCAGCAAACTAGCGGAGCGTGAGGAACACCTTGGAGCGTTGCGCAACTTGATCAATCTAGTACCTGCGCCGACTCCGCAACCTGAGGTGGAACGATGCGTGGCGTCGGCTTCTTCCAGTTCGTCTCTTGCCACACTGGCGTCAACGGCCACGAGCCTTGTCTCCTCTGATCCTCCAGCGCGAACATCTTCGCAGCAGCTCCCGTCTGGCTCGGCAAAGCGAAGTGGAGATCTCTCTTCTGATCCAACGTCACAGTCGAAGCGTGCAAAGCGCGCCGTTGCGACTACCGAGGGAGCGCCAGCTGAGTTGTCTTCCTCTACGGCGATGGGTACGTAGCTCTTCCTCATTGTCAGACAAGCGACTTTCATAGATCTCCGTCTGACAGCCCGTGGATCTCTGTATCAGCCCGAAGCCCATTCACGCACGCAATTCCACCTGAGTCCAGCGAAGCTGCGCGCCCTGCCGATGTCACGCCGTGGCTGTGGGAGGTTGTTGCAGGTCACCGCCTTGACCAGCTTACAGCCAAAGACCTCGCTTCGAAGTTCTTACCACGCGACTGGCTGCTACCCGCCGGGGTGTGCAACTTTAAGAAGGGGGAGCTGGCCGTTCCTGCTGACTATCGGCCCTGGCCACAAGCCTCGGTCGAAGCTTTATACAAAGCGAGTCCCTGGAAGATCTTCCT